GAATATAATATAGAAAATAAATTAATATGTTGATAAATTATTTTAATTCAATAAACAATGTGTCGAAATAAATTTTATTAAGTATCTTTTATTAAGTATCTCTTCCATCTTTGTTTGCATTTTTAAAAATTTATTTTGGTTATATTTTATTATATATATTATCATTCATTTGTATAGTGACAAGTCCTGGAGGAACGAATTCCGGAGTACAAGGTCTAAGCTCCTTGCAAAGTCTCAGTACATTAGGTTCCCTTGGAAATTTGAGTAATACAGGAGGTTTACAGGCATTGTCGAGAGTGCAGCCTCCTTTAACACCTTCTTTAACACCATCTCTCGCTAATCATTATCGGGAAGACTTGACACAGCATGTGCGTGCTTTTCCCGCTGATATTCTCGAAAAACAGGTGCGAATCCAGTATTTCTTAAATAATAGTCCCTTTACTGTTACTGGATGATTTTCTTAAATTAAATAATATTTATGTACAGGCACAGAAACTTAGTGAGGAAGCACATACAATGGGCAGTTTACAATGTACGAGAGTGTCCGCAGAATTGAAGACGGCACGATCGATAGTGAGGCTGACAGAAATTCAGGCAACGTTACAGGAACAAAGGTAAGGTTTCATGTTATAGCACATTTAATAAATGTTTAAACATAAAACAATTATATCGCTTATTTACTTGTTATTTTAGGATATTATTCCTCCGTCAACAAATTCAAACACTAGAGGAGTTAAAATCCCAAAATTCCTTCATGTCTGACGATTCTTAGTGTAAGAATCTTTATAAAATAATTATGATTACAATCTATAATTAATTCAAGCAAAATAAAACATGATTATTAATATTCTCATTAATATTGAATAATTAAGATTGTACCTAAATTATAATATCGTAATAGAAGTGATATAATAGCGAATGAACATGGGCTGCTTAGAGAGGATTGGCTGTTTCATTTATCAGCCAACGAGTCTTAATAAGTAATTAATGAATTTATTAGTGAATCCACCTCTCTGAGAAGCACATCAGGCCTATCCAATACAAATAGCACAGCAGTGCTTGCAAAGCTTGATTATATGCGCTTTTTTAGCGCTTTGTTAACGCTTTGTAAGCGCTGTGCGCTACTTGGGAAGTCGCAAACACAACACTAAATGATTAGAAAAACGAATCAATTTTATCAGTTCAATGCAAACTACTGAATTGTATATCTGAAATTGTCCACATCGTCTTGTATTTACCTATGTTATACGTGTCAATGTTTCATATCCCAAGATTAAGCGGCATTTTAACTAGTTGAAACATTTTTGTTGTAAATCTCGGAATAAAATTCGTGCCACAAATTTTAATACAGTTCTTTATCAGCCATAGTATCTCACTTACCTAATCTCCTGAATTTTTCGTTGAGAAAGGGAGAGAATCGCTTTTAGAGAACTTATATTAAATATATTTACATTAAATATGAGACAGAGGAAATCATATATTTTATATTCAGATTTGTGTTCGATCTCCAATCATTTTATTACAGGGTTTCTTGACATTGTAGAATGTATCATCGCTGTGAGCAAGTATTGATATATTATTATACATGCTCTTCTATTTACATCGTGTAATTAAAAAGTATAGCATTGACGCGCGCGAAATTTTAGAATAACAAATGGCTACCATTTAATTTCTAGTGTGTAAATAGCAGAATCAGAGTGAGTATTATTTACGAACGATATAATTTTATGCATGGTAAATTTTTTCAGTTAAGAACATTATTGTATCGAAACTATGAATTAAAATAAAAATACGCATTTTTTATATTATAATTACAAATAACTCGTTTTACTTTAATCACCTAACTATGTCAAATGAAATACACAAATAAAATTTTATTAAATTCTATCCATAATTCGAGCGTTTAATAAACATAGTACTGTATGAAATATTGAAGTTGATATATTGCGAATTGTAATAGTTGTTTAAAAGACTATATTGTTAAGGAATTCTTTAATAAGGTTTTTTGAACCATTTTTCACTATGTAATTATTTATTTGAATAATATTCTGCAATGGAGAAAAGAATATATTAAACGAATATATTAAAAAAATGTCCCAAAAGAATTATTTGCATATCATACTATTGAAAATTATCTTTTGAAATAGATTATTATAACAGTTTGTAGAGCAATATTTATGTGTGTATATATACAGGATGAATCAGAGTCGTTGAATCAACTTTTTATTCTATGAGAAAATTATCGATTTCATACCTAATTAAATTATAACATGTGCAGTCAATTATTTTCTCATAGAGTAAAAAGCTGGTCAACGACTCTCGATTCACCTTGTATATATGCGCGCACACGCACACGCACACACACACACACACACACACACACACACACACACACACACAGTGCCC